CATCTTTTTGATATTCTCTGCTTTCAGCCAAGATCCATCTGATATCACCAATGGTATCCCTCATTCCATATCCTTGTCTGAATCCAGCTTGAGCCTCTGGAAGTTCTCTGTCAATAGAAGTATTTAAATTAAAACAAACTTAAAAGATTGGCAATGGGAGAGCAGAGATCAATTTATAATGGCGTCAACTACAAAGGAAAAAACAGGAATAGTGTAGCTACAGAACTTCCAAATGGCTAGGATGTCAAGTTAATTTTAAGATTGTTTTAAGCAGGTAAAAAATTTCATAAACTACAGGGTAACCTCAAAGAAAACGGATCTACCTTTTTATCAAAATAAAACAGAGGAAAACCAGAAAGATTTAGTAAATATTAATGCAACAGAAATGAAAATGAAAAGAAACTCTACACACAAAATGAACTTAATACAGAAAGTATGTGGAACCGTTGGGGAAAAAAAATCACACAACAAAATGCCAGCAATCAGCTGATAGAAATCAACAATGACACTGGCTGTCAATGAATTAAATGTACCACTCAAGAGACCCGGAGTAGTAGAAGGCCTGCAAGAGACATCTAAAAGATGGAGACAGCCTAAATGCCCATCAACAGAAGAATGGTTAAAGAAACTGCATTGAAAAGTAAGTAACAATGAATCTCTAAAGCAGCTGACTACATGGATGAACCGGGCGGACGTTGCATGAAGTGCCGTCCAGTAGGGACTCACAGCAATCTCACACTGCTACCACTATACCTGTCCATCTTGTTGGGGTCTTCCTCTTTTTCACTGACCCTCCACTTTACCAAGCAGGATGTCGCTCTTCAGGGCCTAGTCCTGATACTATGTCTGAAGTATGAAAGATGAAGTCAGCCACAAAAGAACAAGAACTAAAGGCATTGTGGGTTATTGTCACCAGTAGGAAGGAGCCTGGGCCCCTCAGACTGGTACAAAGTGCTGGGCCCACCTGGGTGCCTTGGGAGAGAAAGGGGCCTGCTTGTATCCCTCCCCTCCTGGCTGTTCCATTTGGGACCTTCCAGCTTGGCCGTTCCCCAGCGCCACGGGGTCCTCCCCTTTCCCCCATGAACACAGGCTCCAGAGCCCGGTGAAGTGACGTCAGTGGCCGCAGGAGTCGGACCAGGTTTCATTTGGGATCTGTACTTTTTTTTTTTTTTTCCTGTTAAACTTTTTATTGTGAATTGAGTTACGGCTTACAGGGCAGATTGTCAGTATTACATTCAACAAAGCATATACTTTGCTTCATTCATGGTTGCACCCGCCTCCATGCACCAGCAGTTAACAGCATTTACCTCTATTCTCTTTAACTCTTGCATTCCTCCCTGTGTCTCCTGATACATTCACCTTTCCTATGCTAACCTCCCTCTTGTTGTATATTGCCTGCTCTGTCATCCATGTTAACATGTGTCTACCCTCTAGCCCATGACTACTTTCCCTTCCTCCACTCTCCTGTAAACATCATAAAATGTTTCTTTTGTTTAAATGTTTTATTGTGAATTATGTGGTAGTTTACATGGGAGAACATTAGTTTTACATTCATCCTATCATATATTATTTCATTGCCATGGTTACAGTCCCCTCCATGCATCATCAACCAACCAAAGGGTATACCCTGTAAGCCTGTCCCCCACTTTCCTGGTCATCAGCACACAGCCCTTCTCCCTCTCTGGCTTTAAAGTTCCCAGCTGCTCCATTCTCTCCACTTCATTGTCTCTGCCTAGAATGTTTCTTTTATCAAAAAAAACTCTCCTTAACTTTTTACAACACTGGTCTCACACAATATCTGTCCTTTTGTCATTGACTGATTTCATCGGCATCATGTTCCTCAGGTTC